ATTTCATAGGATGTTTAACAGTATTAAATGAGATAATGCACTTAACCTGCTTCACAGAGATCTGGCATTGTGTAGAGTTAACAATAACGGCTATTAAATGTTAAACAGTGGCTGCTACGATTTTTTTGTAACACAGGTAGTTCTCGACATAGGACGTATTCGAGTTCTGACAAAGTGTACATACAACCATCTGTTGTCTTTTTGTACATCTTATCATTAATAGTATGTACTATATACAATGTTGTAAAGTGTAATTTGTTGATGTTATAATTCTCAGATGTTCACAGATTGGATTTATAAAGATACTGATAATAAAATGCAATAATAATAATGAAAACTTAAAAAAAAAAAAAGAGGTATTCAACTTACGTCAGAACTGACTTACGACGGAGTTGTCAGAACGGAACCCTGTCCTAAGTCAGGGACTAGCTGTATTGTTGCTTTCCAAGGTTACCCAGGTAGTCTATGGGAAAATTGAGATATCTGGATATATTCAGATAGATGCCTCAACTTTGAGTTTGGTTTTGTGTCTACTGCTTGTTGCCAACTCAGCAGCCCACCCAGAACTACTACCCCAGTTGCTCTGTTTGGGTGGGCTCTAACGCTGGCAGGAAGGAAAGCAGGAGGAACAAATTCAGGAGAGGAGTGTGATGTAATCCACAATGGAAGGACCCCTTTGGCTCGACCTGCTCCGTTTTATAATTGGGGAAACTGAAGAGAGGAGAAGCGTGGAGGCCTGCTCTACATTATACAGTCAGGTAGGAACAGACTCCAAAGGGCCCTGCCTGGTGTTCTTTCTACTGCCACTTCCTGATTTTTCCTAACCTGGAGGTTCAGACAGGTCTTAAATGGCCAGGGCTCCTGTCCCTTTGCCCCTGGAATCACAGTACTTGCTCATGGCAGTGAATGCGATGTCTGAGAGCATGGATTCTGGAATTCGTCAGCTCTGAGCTTTGAATTGCAACTCCCTCAGCTACTATCCTCGTTACCTCAATTGTAAAAAGGTCATTTTAGGACCTGTCTGCTAGGGTTGCGATGAGAGGTAAAAAAGATAAGGCATGTACCTCGTTTAGTACCCTTTCAGTACACAGCACCAAAAACCAAACTCGGTGCCGTCGAGTTAATTCCGACTCATGGCGACCTCACATGTTAGAGTAAAATTGTTCCATAGGGTTTTCTTGGCTGTAACCTTTACAGAAGTAGATCACCAGGCCTTTCTTCTGTGGTGCCTCTGGGTAGGTTCAAACTGCCAACTTTTAGATTAGTAGCTGAGCGCAAACTGTGCTACCCAGGGACCTCTTCAGTATACAGTAGGCACTTGATAAATGTCAGCTGCTAACATTACTGTTATGGGTTGAATTGTGTCTCCCAAGAAGACATGTCCAAGCCCTAATTTGAAAGGTACTTGTGACTATGACCTTATCTGGAAATAAGAGTGTGTGCAGATGTAATCAGTTAAAATGAGGTCATGAGGGTGGGCCCTCATCTCTCTGACTGGTGTCCTTATAAGAGAGAAGAGACATAGAGAGACACATAGGGAAGAACACCAGGTGAGAATGGAGGCAGAGATTGGAGTGAGGCTGCCAGAAGCCCAGGAATGCCTGGGGCTACCAGAAACTGGGAGAGATAAGAAATGATCTTCCCCTAGGGTGTTGGGAAAGAGCATGGCCCTGTTGATAGCCTGAATTCAGGCTTCAAGCTTCTACAACCTTGAGACGATAAATTTCTGTTGTTTTAAGTTTGTGGTAATTTGTCAGAGCCCTAGGAAAGAATACAGTTAATAATGTTATCATCCTCTTCATCATCATCACAGCCACCACCACCACATGGACCCCAGAACTGCCTAGGCCCCAACATCTTCCTAAAGCTCAAAATCTCTGTTCCAATTTTTCTACAGTCTACAAGATATTCAGAATCTTGTGAACACAGTCTAACAAGTGATGTGATCCCTCGGTAGCCCTGTGGATTTGCTGTTTGTGCTGACACTGACGGTCAGGCCGTGTATCATATTGTCATCAAGTGTAGCTGGAAAAAGCATGGGCTTCAAACCCAGCTCCACTACTCTCAGACTCAGGTCTGTTTTAACAAAAAGGAAGCAAGACTCAGAATGTGAGGTGGCTTACCTTATTTTTAAAATAGGAATGCTATTATCCACCTTCTAAGGTGGTTATGGGGCCCTGGTGGTGCAATGGTTAAGAGCTCAGCTGCTAACCCAAAGGTTGGCAGTTCAAGTCCACCACCTGCTCCCTGGAAACCCTAGGGGGCAGTTCTACTCTGTCCTCTGTCCTATTGGGTCGCTACGGGTTGGAATTGACTTGATGGCAACAGGTTTTTTTTTTTTTAAGGTGGTTATAAAAATTAAAAAAGGGAATAAATGCATAGGGCCCAGATGAGTACCTGGCACATGGTAGATGCTCAAAAAGATAATTATATGCATATGGAATTAGGAATGTTATAAATGCACATGTCACAGATAGTTCTAGAAGAACAACTGGCTGTCCTTGATGGTTCACAATGTCATAGTCTGATAATCCCTGGTGACACCAGCAACAAACAACCTGTTACTGATGGTCCACCCCACACTCTGATATTAGAGGTGAGCATATGAGGGAGAAGACAAAAGGTAGCAATATGCCAGCTTAGTGAGTGCTTACCGAGTGTCAGGTACTGTCCTAGGTGCCCTGCATACATTATTGCACACTTGATTCTCATAGCAACCCTGTGACACGAGTTTATTTATCCTGTTTTACAGACGAGAATGCTGAAGTGAGGTCCCTGGCCATTGCTACACAGCTAGTAAATGACAAAGCTGGGATCCAGGCTGGCTTCCATGTAATTCCACAGCCTATGCTCTCTCCACTGAATCGATACGAGAGCATTTCAGAGGACCCATGCCTCTTGAATATATATCTGCTTAATCTAGACTCTTCCCTACTAATAGTCAAGTGTGTGTATGTGTGTGTGTGTGTGTGTGTAGTGTGTGTGCTTCTGGGACTCTGGTGAGTTTGAGGCCCTGGTGGTGGCTGCTTGGGGCAGTGGTGGCTGGCTGGCTTCAAAGGGAACCCTTTGGATCTCTTGTCCCAGGCCCATAGGTGGTGCTCTGACACTGTCTGCTGGAGGTAGTGGCTGTAGCTGAGAAAGTCACTAGGCAGCCCTGTGCCCCTGAGCCCTGGGCCTCTCAAGCTTACACATACACGTAAGACCTGGGGATGCCAGAGCCCCTCTCACTCAGCCTATAACAGGCCTGCTCCAGGCTACTGTGGGCTGTGGGCACTCGCTGGGCATTGGGGCTGTCTTAAAGCTCTTTGTCCAGTGCATTCTGATGGGTGTCTTGGGAAGGCTGGAATCTGGAAAGCTGGAAGGGTTCAGGGAAGAGGATCCAGCCATAGCTTTGCTGACCCCACTGAGGGTAAGTGAGGGGCTCAGCTACCCAGGAGATCCCTCAAGGGAGAAGGCTTGGGCTTTGGGATCATACAGTCCTGGGCCCCAAGCCTACTGCTTACTAGCGTTGGGACACTGAGTCAAGCCCTTTCAACTGTCTGAGGTCCACTTTCCACACCTGTAAAATGGGAATTCATGAGACTTTCCTCATCAGTTTCCTGGTGGTGATTAAAAAGAAAAGGTGT